CTCCATGCAGAACGTGCCCTCCTCAATACCCACCACCAGGCCAACCCATCCTCCCACCCCCCTCCCCTCTAGAACCCCCAGCCTGTTTTTCAGAGACTGGCACATTCTTACGAAGTTAAACGTACACTTAACTGAATGACCTAACAGTTTCGTTCCTAGGTATTTATTTAAGAAAGAAAGAAAACATGCCCACAAAAAAGACCTGTATGCAAATGTTCATAGCAGCTTTATATTCATAATACCCAAACACTGCAAGCAACTCTCCAATGCAGGCAACTCTCTAAAACATACTTGAATGAAAGAAGCCAGACACAAATGAGTACATGTGTAATTACTGGATTAAAATCTAGAAGAGTCATCCATGCAAAATCAGTCTATAGTGACAAAAGGCAGATCAGTGGTTGCTTGAGTCCAAGGGTAGGGGAAGGGGATTGACTGTATGGCAGCATGAGGAAACTTTTGGAGATGATGGGAATGTTTTATATCTTCATTATGATAGTGGTTACACGGATATATACATTTATCAAACTCAATTCACCTGTACACCTAAATGTGTACATTTTACTGTATATAAGTCAGACCTTAATAAAATTGGTTTAGAAAGAAAAAAGGGAAGTTGCAGAATAACATGTGTAGTATGATGAACCCATTTGTGTAAAAGAGAAAAATATATATGTATATTTGCATTCTTATGTATGCACAGAAATGATCTGGAAAGATTCACAAAAAGCTATTATTAGTGATTAGGACTGGGGTGCTAGAATGGGAGGGAGACTTCTTTTTTTAGACTCTTCTATATCCTGTAAGTTGGTTTTTTTTAACCATGTGCCCGTTTTAAACTAATATAAACAAAAAGAATTTGGGACAGTACAAGTCTCTGTTGAGGTTCAAAGAAGAGGTGTCTTCTGATTGGAGCATTTGCTTAAGCCTGCAAAGAAGAGTGGTGGAACTTGAAGGGTGCATAGAGTGCACGTGGGCAGGAAAGGAAGATGGTCCAGAGGGGTGAAACAGTGTGACCAGGGTACAGAGGTGGAATTGCGTAAGGGGCCTTAGGGTATTAGACAGTAAATGAGTATATACAGAGCATAAAATGTAGATGAGTACTGACAGGTAGGAGTAAACAGGTGAGTTTAGCTGACACCAGAAGATTTTGATGCCTAGAAAATGAATTTGACTTTTCCTCATGTGAAGAGCCACTGGAAGCATGGGGGCAGGTAAATTACAGGAAGAATTTGCTATTTTAGGTCAGATTTATTAGTGTTTGGTTAAGGTGGTTTGGAACATTTAGGTAGTGTTCCAGGTGATTTGGAAAGGATAGGGAAGCCATTTTGGTAGCTATTGCACTTCCTCAGTTGTGAAATAATAAGGCTCCAAACTGGAATTGGAAAGGAACAGAAACATTTAAAGCAAGAATCCAGAGAAAGTGTTGATTTGCCAAATATTAAGGTTAATGAGTCAAAGACAGCAAGAGATTTGCAGGTGGAGGGATGGTATCCGTGCCAGAGATAGGAGTGATGAAAGAATGAGTGTGATTTGGGTGAATAGGAGAAGATAGCTAAGCCTTCTACTTGTTAACGGTGTATCGTGTGTGTGCTACACAGAGTAGCCTCAGAATTCAGCTCCATGTGCTGCCTTGGTTTATCTCTTTTCCGTTCATCTTAACGGTTGTGTTTCATAGCAGCATTCTACATGCCCTTATCTTCACCCTGTACGTTATGTGTTTTACCTGTCCCTTATTAACCTAAGGTAAAAAACAGAAATTTGAGTTTAACTTTAAACTGTATCTAATGGCTGCTCAGCAGAGCTAAGTCCTTAAGTTTTATTACACCCCTTTTCCCCAGAGGCTTTTTTTTTTTTAATGTCCCTTACTATCTTCTACAAGATTGATTATGGGAAGATAACTTTCAGATGAGTATTATTATATTATTACCTATACAATCCTTTAAAAACATGTGTTTATAAAATGTATAAAGATAAGACGTTTTCTTATTTTAGAAATAAACTCAACGTTTACTTTTTCTTCTGTAGTTTTAAGATTTTATTTAACATGTCAAGGAAGTTTTCCATGTGAATAACCCTCATTCTGTTGCTATCTCATTTTCTTTTTTAATGGCTGACTAGTTTTTTCCTGGAGAAAAAAGTTGTTTTGCAGTTTTTCCTCTTCATTCAGTACTGCAGTATTATGTATATGTACCTGCAGATCTGCATCTTTGTATTAGTTCTCTGAAAAATTCCTAAAAGTAGATTTGCTGGATCAAAGAATAAGATCAAAAGGTCATAGGTTTTGATATAATAAATTGACAATAGATTAACTCATTTTGTTCTTTTTTAAATTTCTGTATCATCTTATTTGGAACAGAATGAAAGGTACTTGCACCTTGCAGCAAAACTTCTGGATGCAAAGGAGCAAGCAGCTACCTTTAAACTAGAAAAAAACAAGCAAGGCCAAAAAGAGGCTCAAGAAAAAATAAGGAAATTTCAAAGAGGTAAACACTTCCAAATTCTTAGATGTATAAATGTCTTGTCTTTTTTGGCTTTCCCAGCATGGAGATTGCCTCTTTTTAATTTGTGTACAAAATCCCAGTTTATACGTGGGCTTGGCAGACTTTCTGCAACAAGCCAAATAATAAATATGGTCGCTTGTGCGGCCATATAGAGTCTCACAACTACTGAACTCTGCTGTCACAGAATAGAAGCAGCTATGAACAATATGTACGTGAATGGCTATGGTCTCATAAAACTTTACAGATACCAAAATGGGAATTTCATATAATTTTCACATTTCACCACCAAATATTTCTTTTTTTTTTTTTCAACCAGTTAAAAATATAAAAATCATTCTTAGCTTATAGGATGTACAGAAACAGGCAGCTGGCTAGATTTGACCGGCAGGCCATAGTTTGTCATCCTCTGATGTATACCTTAAAACCTCATTCAAGGAGAAAGTGAGGCGGATATAATTCCATGAGTATTCATTTCTAGTGAAGATGTTTTTCCGAACCTTCTACATCTGTTAAATAATTTATTTAAAACATTTTAGTATATGTGAAATAAATTGCCTCTGACTTCTAGCACAAATTCCAAATAGGGAGTGTTGAATACTTGGCTACAAGGAAAAAGACGGAATGCTCTCTTTTTTTAAAAACATCTTTGCAAAATAAAAAGACATAAAAAACAAATACAACAGAGCATGATTTTTTTCTTTGTAGAAATGGAAACTTTAGAAGACCATCCAGTATTCAATCCAGCCATAAAGATTTCGCATCAACAGAATGAAAGGAAAAAGCCTCCTGTAGCCACAGAAGAGGAAAGGGCTTTGAACTTTAACTTATTTGAAAAATCGGTAGCTTCTACTGAAGAAGAGAAAGGTAAAATGAAGGGAAAGTGTTTCAAGGTGTAAGTAGTAAAATGTCAATGAAAATACAGTTGAGAAACTATGTTACTTTGCGTTCCAGCAGACTACATAAGCTGGCAGTAAAGCTATGTTTCCACGTGCTGTCTTAGAAAAGTAATAATTATGATAACTTTTTAACATTTTATAATTACAGTTATCTTGCTTCAGCGTCATCTCTTTCCAGCCAGAATTCTTTCCATAACACACATTTAAATGTGAGTTCCTTGTTAAAAACCCTTAATCGGTAGTAAGTCCAAACCCTTTATCATGGTATTGAGGATCCTTTGCATTCTGCCACAATCTGCCTTTCCACTTTGTTCTCCCAGCTGTGTACTACAGCCACATGTTATTTCATGGCTCCATGATTTTGCTCATCCTTTTAGCCCCTCCTGGCCAACCTTTCCCTCCTTTCAAAGCTCAGTTCAAAACAGCACCTCTTTAAGCCTGCCGTGAGTCCTGCCATGCCACTGTATGTGTGTAATTGTGTACTTACTTGTGCTAAGTAAATTATTGATATAGCTTGTGTAATATTTATCTGTAATACAGTCAAAGCCTATACTAAATTGTCAGTTTTTTAAATTATACATTGTTTCATAAGTATTTATTGGATTTCCTTACTGTTCAGAATGTCACATGCTATGTGTACAGTTATTAACAAAATCACCTACTGCTTGCCCTCTTCAAGGGTATGGTCTAGTAGGAGAGGTAAGGTTTAAATATACATAAATATTTAATTACCAGTTGTGATGTGTGCTATCAGAGCAAGAAAACTGGTTTCTAATAATAGAGATAAGGGGACTGATGACTTGCTCTGAGATCTAACAGATGATTAGGTGTCAGCCCAGTGACGTGGTGGGAGGAGCCTTCTAAGGACGGAGATTGGAAGTCTAACTTGGAAAAGATCTAGAGCAGACTATTCAACAGAACACTCTGTGACAGAAATGTTCTGTATCTGAGCTATCCAATGTGGTAGCTACTAGCCAAATATGAGTATTGTGCGCTTGAAATGGGATTAGTACAACTGAGAAACTGAAAGTTTAATTGTAATTAATTTAGGTTTGTCCGCATGTGGCTAGTGGCTACTGTATTGGGCCAGGCAGGCCTGGAGCATTTGGGGAGGTGACTGACTGCCTGTGTGGCTGCAGTGTAGTGAGCATGATGGTAGAGTGATAACAGATAGGCAGAGATGGACCATGGAGAATTTGGACTCTATTTTATATGGAATATGAAGCCAAAGAAGGTGATGGTGGTGGTGGCGGCTATTAAGCAGAGAAGTGACATCTGACTTATATTTTTTTCAAAAGATTACCCTTTCCTGTGTGGTAGCCTCCCAAACACTGTAGTTCAGAGTACCATAAATAATTCATCACATGGATATCATAGATATTTTACAACAAGTTACTCAGGATACTTTAAGATTCAGATTTTCAATGGTTCTATCCATTCAGAGGATTTGCTTACATCACTTGTAGAAGAGCAAGCTTTTCTCTGTCATTTTTCACCTATTCTCTTCTAAAAGTCTTGTCCCAAAATTGAGAGGACTTTGATCACTCAAAAGAGATGATACATTACTGCATGACAATTTTTAAAGCACCAATCTTTGTCTGTCATTTTAGAGAAAAAGAAGGAACCTCATGATGTAAGAAATTTTGACTATACAGCTCGAAGCTGGACTGGAAAATCTCCCAAACAATTTCTGATCGATTGGGTCAGGAAGAATCTTCCCAAGAGTCCAAATCCTTCTTTTGAAAAAGTTCCAGTAGGTAGATACTGGAAATGTAGGTATGTTTTTCTGGTTAATTGAATAAACTTTTAGGAAAATCTAAGATGAAAAATCTCTTTGTTTCTTATGTGTTAAGTGGACATTTAGGAAGCTCTCTCATTCCACGTCTCTGGGTGATAATGCTCATCAGTTACCTAGGTACAGTGTCTTCCATGGAAATATTTAATTTAAGTAATTAACGTAAACTTAGGTTGGGGGTTAATGGAATTCGGACTCGTTTTACTTCATTAATTTTATTTTTAAAATTCTTTGGCTTCTTTGTAGGGTAAAGGTAATCAAATCTGAAGACGATGTACTGGTAGCGTGCCCTACAATCCTAACAGAAGATGGCATGCAAGCTCAGCACCTGGGAGCAACTCTAGCTCTCTATCGTTTAGTGAAAGGGCAGGTGAGACTCTTTAGAGTGAGCTGTTTCAAAAATCATTTGTGGACTGTACGTAGCCGACCTAAAACTGTATGGGCATACGGAATGTCATATTTAATTGTGGCCCTTCATGCCAGTTTTTACTTACTGCTTCTTCAAATTAACCCTCATTTCTGCTTATTTATAATTTTGACTGCCTCTAGCCCCTAAACCTAGCTCAGTCTTTCTGTCCTTAGACCAGAGGCTCTGAACCATTTCAGTGGTTCAGTTTTTCAGGCTATGCTATTTTACAGATTAAAAATAGTTGTACGAGGCTGGTTGAAGTAAGAATTTTTAAACAGTTTAATGTTTAAATATTATCTCTCTTTAATGTTGTATTTTCCCTCAGCTTTGAGAAGTTATAGACCTTGATTCCACTTTTCAGTTTTAGGCTATATTAGTTATAAGCTCTCAGGTTAAGGAAAGATTAAAGTACTACTGAAGGAAGCTCTTTTTTTTCTTGGATTGTTGGATTGTCAACATTTGTTTTATATAATATGTATATTTTTCTTCATGGAAATTATAGACCCTGATGACATGCAACTCCAAACAATAGTTCTTATCCAGTTTCTGGCAGTAAAAGTTCTTAATGCCTTTATTTCCCTTATTTTGCAAAAAAGTTATCATAAGCTAAGCTTAATTGATAGAAATGACTATCATTGTTACAGAGAAAACTGTTACAGAAATAATTTTATAGCACAGAATTAGGATAACTTAGATTGACTCCACTGTAGTTCATTTTTTTTTTTTTAAGATGTACTTATTTGAGAGAGAGAGGGATAGTGAGAGAGAGCACAAGCAGTGGGTGCTTCTCCCTCTGGAGAAGCAGACTCCCTGCCGAGCAGGGAACTGATGCGGGGCTCCATCCCAGGACCCTGGGATCATGACCTGAGCCGAAGGCAGACGCTTAACCGACTGAGCCACGCAGGTGCCCCTCCACTGTAGTTCATTTTAAATACTTTGACCTATAATCTTAATTTAACTACCAGCATCTCACAGGGAGCTTTGTTTCAGGAATGCTTTATGGATCATCTACATATTTACATAGCACCACTGCAGGAATAAATAATAAAAATGTATTCATTAGTTTCCTATGTTCCAGGAATGAGCACTTTTCATATAGTAACTTAAAGTTTACTTCAGAATGTGTCTATAAAGGAGATAGTAGCCCCATTTTATAAATGTAGAAACTGAGACCCAGAGAGATTATCTGTCCAAGGTCACACAGTTAGGAAGTCTAGAAGCCTGAATATGATATGCTGTTTATAAATTTGCATCATGAGCATGTATCTTATATTAAAGTAATAACTTACTAATTTAAGAGAGAAATTATATTTTAAAAGGCAAGTAGGTATCCTGAACTCTAGCCTATTGAAATTTGGTATCCAGTAGTTAGTGAAAATAACATACTGCTCTTTTTTTTTTTCCCCATCTGTAGTCAGTGCATCAGTTACTTCCTCCCACTTACCGAGATGTTTGGCTGGAGTGGAGTGATGCAGAAAAGAAAAAGGAAGAATTAAATAAAATGGAAACCAATAAACCCCGTGATGTGTTTGTTGCCAAACTTCTGAACAGATTGAAGCAGCAGCAGCAGCAGCAGCAGCAGCATTCTGGAAACAAGCGTGGAAACTCTGAAGATCCTGAGGAATCTTGGGAAAATTTAGTTTCTGATGAAGATTTTTCTGCACTGTCCTTGGATGCAGAAAAGGCAGAAGATTTGGAACCTGCTCGAACCCTGTTTAGAAAGTTACAAAGCACACCGAAGTACCAGAGACTTCTAAAGGAAAGGCAGCAGTTACCTGTGTTCAAACATAGGAATTCAATCGTTGAAACGCTTAAAAGGCACCGGGTAGTGGTTGTGGCAGGTGAAACAGGGAGTGGCAAGAGTACTCAAGTACCACATTTTCTGTTGGAAGATTTGCTTCTAAATGAGTGGGGAACGAGTAAGTGTAACATTGTCTGCACTCAGCCCCGAAGAATCTCAGCAGTGAGTTTAGCCACAAGAGTATGTGACGAGTTGGGCTGTGAAAATGGACCTGGAGGAAGGGTAAGATGATGTCCAACTCCGCCTCAGTGAGTGGTGACATTACTCACCTTTGCTCTTGGCATCCGAATGGAACCTGCACCATGTATGACTTGTGACTTACTGTGTATTCAGTAGCACATCTCAGGCACTTTTCATGTTTTCTTTGACAGATGTCATACTGTGCCACTCTCCCTCATCTGAAAGGGGTTGTTAGTAGTAATTCTGTCATTAAAATTCTCATATCAAGGAAAAAATATATTCAGTTTAGTAATTGAATGGTCAAATATGTTACATACTAAAGAGAACAAAGAATATAAACAAGTACAGATTTGACTGTAATATCCTAAATCTCAAGTTTCTGCAAATCTTCTCTATGGAATGTATTCCTGAATAATTTTCATTAATTCTTTTTGAGAGAGAGAGAGAAACAGCATGAGAGGGGATAGGGTCAGAGGGAGAAGCAGGCTCCCCGCTGAGCCGGGAGCCCGATGCGGGACTCGATCCCGGGACTCCAGGATCATGACCTGAGCCGAAGGCAGTCGCTTAACCAACTGAGCCACCCAGGCGCCCAATAACTCAGCTTATTTATACTTTGCATCGTCCTTTCTGGAGATGGTACTTAACATTTTTGCCTCTGTCTTTACGTACCCCTTTACTAAAAATGTTTTATGTAACAAATTACCTGGGTTTCTCTCATGGAATGTAAGAAGAAAAAAGACAGTTTCTGTCTGATAAGGAACTCGCGTTAAGAGGATGACAGATATGTACACACATGGCAAATAAAAGAGTGAAAAAAATCAATGTGGTGGAAATAGAAGGAACTTCAAGATTCCCATCAGGCACCACCTGTACAATGCCAGCTGCTTTTTAATGGTGGCAGCTTTTATGAAATCTTGATAGAAAATTTTGGGAACTGCTCTAAATTTTTGTTCCTGGGTACCTCAGCATTTTGTTCCAAGATAATTGAATTAGAAAGAATATTGGTGCCTGGGTGGCTCAGTCGGTTAAGTGTCCAACTCTTGGTTTGAGCTCAGGTCATGATCTCAGGGTTGTGAGATTGAGCCCCACTTCGGGCTCTGTGCTCAATGCGGAGTCTGCTTGACTCTCTCTCTCTCTCCCTTTCCCTCTGCCCCTCCCCCCCCCAAAAAGAATAGAATGATACTGATGGTACCTAAAGCTGGTGAATAGCTTTTGTGTCAACACTTGGGAAAGAACAAAAGTTTTTCTTGTTTAAAGTTAGCAAAACAAATTTTACAATTTTAGATAATTGAAGACCATGGAAAAATAATTTTAATTAATAAATTTCACTAAGTAGATATAGATTTACTTAAGCTGCTCCACCTACTAGCAGGATCAGCACCTGCACTACATTTCTTAGCGCTTGTTTCCCAGATCACTTGTGAGAATCTAATCTCAACCTTGTGTTCTCCCTTCAGAATTCTTTGTGTGGATATCAGATCCGGATGGAATCTCGAGCTAGTGAATCTACAAGGTTACTCTATTGTACAACAGGGGTTTTGCTAAGGAAACTTCAAGAAGATGGTCTCCTAACTAATGTGTCTCATGTTATTGTAGACGAGGTGAGTATATTCTATAGTCAAGTTCAGATAAATTCAAAACATCTTCATATTAAAAAGATGCTATTTCTAATACTAGCATTTTATTTGCTTATTTAAATACCAGACACTTTACATGTAATAATTATGTAATTTCTTCTAACAAATGTGTGTCATGTTAATTGATATAATACCATATGACATTTGCTATATGGTAGATGCTATTCTGATTTTATGTATATAAATTTGTTAATCCTTCTCACACTCCAGTGAAGTAGATATTCTTACCTCTGTTTGACAGTTGTCAAACTGAAGCACAGAGAGGTTAAAATACCTTGTGTAAGTTCACACAGCCAGTAAGTTCTGAAACTAGGGGTTCATACTGAGGTCATTTGGCTGCAGTCTGTGTTCTAACCAGTATACTGACTCTCAACTACGTTTAGTTAAAGGATTTTCTTTGATTCTTATTAAAAAAAAAAGAACGCTTCATCATTTTCTCTCTAGATATATCCCTCCCTGAATCAAATTTGAATGCACACTTAAATTGAATGTTTAAATTGAAGATTTTCCCATGGGAATTGTTTTAAATGGCACAGTAGCCTAGCATATGTAAACTCATTTGCTTTGTACATAGTTTTGTCAAGAAGAAATAAGATATATAGCATTTCTCTTATTCAAGTAATATTTAAAAAAATTTCCCTGATGTAAAGTTTTTATGAGTTTCTGTTAATTCACCAAGTTCAGAAGGCAGTAGGAGAAGTTCAGTCATTCGGGGCACCTGGGTGGTTCAGTCGGTTAAGCGTCTGCCTTCGGATCAGGTCATGATCCCAAGGTCCTGGGATTGAGCCCCGCGTTGGGCTCCCTGCTCAGCGGGGAGTCTGCTTCTCCCTCTCCCACTCCCCCTGCTTGTGTTCCTGCTCTGCTAACTCTCTGTCAAATAAATAAATAAAATCTTTAAAAAAAAAAAAAGTTTAGTCATTCATTGATTTTTAATTAATAGACTACATATAGATTATTGGGTTATTTTCCTCCTTTTGGTTAGAAAATATTTTACAAATAAAGATACAAGAATGAAAGTAAAACACCTCATGACCCAAAAAAAAAATCAATGTTGACATTTAACTAGCATATTTATATATAAATATATTTAGTATGTGTGTGTATTGTACAATTTTTTACATTAGTCTACAAAAACATGACTTTTAATAGCTTTATAGTATATAATTTGGGTGTCCCATATGTATTTATTTAACTTTTTTCCTGTTGGACTTTTTTTAAATTCCACATATACTTGAAAACATGTTGTCTTATTTCTGACTTATTTCACTTAGCATAATACTCTCTTCATTCATCCATGTTGTTGCAAATGGCAAGATCTCATTCTTTTTTATGGCTGATTAATATTCCATCGTATATTCCATTGTATATATTCCCTATCTTCTTTATCCATTCATCTCTTGATGAACACTTGGGCTGCTTCCATATCGTGGCTGTTGTAAATGCTGCTATAAACATAGGGGTGCATATATCTTCTCACATTAGTGTTTTTGTTTTCTTTGGGTAAATACCCAGTAGTAGAATTCCTGGATCATTTTATGTTTGTTTTTAATTTTTTGAGGAGTCTTTATACGGTTTCCACAGTGGTTGTACCAGTTTACATTCCCAACAACAGCGAATAAATGTTCCCTTTTCTCCACATCCTCACCAGCACTTCTTTTTCATTCTAGCCATTCTGACAGGTATGAGGTGATAACTCGTGGTTTTGATTTGCATTTCCCTGATTAGTGATGTTGAGCATCTTTTCATGTGTCCTGTTGGCCATTTGTATGTCTTATTTGAAAAAATGTCTATTCACATCCTCTGCACATTTTTAAATTGCGTTTTTTGGTGTGGAGTAGTGTTAAGTTCTTTACATATTTTGGATATTAACCCCTTGTCAGATATATGATTTGCAAATACCTTCTCCCATTCATTAGGTTGCCTTTTTGTTTTGTTGATGGTTTCCTTCACTGTGCAAAACCTTTTATGGTGGTGTAGTCACAATAGTTTATTTTTGCTTTTTAGGAGTTTTATGGTCTCACATTTAGAACTTTAATCCATTTTGAGTTTATTTTGTGTATGGTGTAGAAAGTGTTCCAGTTTTCCTGACATCATTATTGAAAAGACTATGTTTTCTCCATTATATATTTTTGCCTCAGGGTGGACCCTAATTTAAAAGCCAGACCAACTTGAGGAAGCTGTTCTGTCCTGGTTTAATATTAGCAGCCTGATTCACTGAATTGTGATTTACTGAATTGTGCTTAAATGTGATACTGTCAACATCTTGAACAATATGGTGAAAGTAAGAAAAAGGCCAGTGAAATTCATCATCGTGTTAAATATAAGAATGTAAAAGATGTTGGGACAGAGTTCATTATATTATTCAGGACCTTTCTTTTTGATAGTGCTCAGGATAATACTTCTACCTTATTATTATGAAAAGCGTGATTTGTTTAGTTTGTAGTCACTGTGTGAGTTAAGTAGCTTTTCCTGCTGGCTGCTGGCATGTTTACAGCCAAATTTTTTGCCTGCCTCCCCTACTTTAAGATTTTTTTAAAAGTTTCTTTCTAAGTAATCTCTAATTTTTATACCCAATGTGGGGCTTGAACTCAAAACCCTAAGATCAAGAGTTGCATGCTCCCTGACTGCGGCAGCCAGGTGCCCCTAAAAGGTTTTTTTTTTTTTTAAATATTTTATTTGACAGAAACAAAGCGAGAGAGGGAACACAAGTAGGGGAGAGGGAGAAGCAGGCTTCCCGCTGAGCAGGGAGCCTCATGTGGGGCTCGATCCCAGAACCCCGGGATCATGACCTGGGCTGAAGGCAGACGCTTAATGACTGAGCCACCCGGGCACCCCGCCCCTAAAATGTTTTAATCACTGCCCAAGTCATTATTGTAAAGTCTCAGGGCCTTACACAGCAGATTACCAAGCACCTCACCTGCTTTATCTCTTGCCCCTTCCCATGCTGAAGGTATCATGTTTGCTTTTCCAGTCCTCAAAATTTACCATAATTTTATACAATTTGCATCCCATCACCACTTTCTGTCCCTTTCTTATCCTATTACATCCTTTTTTTCAAACTCATCCTTCAGTTCTTAGCATTGATGGCAATTTCTCTTAGTAAAACTCCCTGACGTCCTGAATTAACTCCCCTTCATTTGTAAATTTAAAACCATCCTGTACATTATCTTCTTACCAGCCTGTAAACTGAAATGGAGAGAACTATCTTGGTCATTTTTACATTCCCAGCATCTAGCATAATGCTGAGTACTTACTATTTATTGGGCTCTGTTCTAAGGGCTTTGCGTGATTTCATTGGACTGTCACAAGCACTCTACAAAGTTTATATTATTGTATTCTTGCTTTATAGAAGAAGAAATAGACCCAGAAATATTTAACATTCTTAAAGTCATACTGTAAATGGCCAAGAAGAGTTGAACCCAAGCGATTAATTGCAGAACTTGAACACTTACCTATTACTGCCTCCCTTACAAACAAATGAGAAAAACCGGTTTTAATTTTTATTTTGATGTACTTAATATTTGTGTGCTGTCTTAAATCTTAAAAAATAAAAATGGGGTACAAATAAGTCAGAATACACAGAGTTGGAAGATAGAGAGTTCTGTATACCACATCTGTTATGTTCTTCCCTAAAACGTGTGTGCCAGAAGGGCATTACAAACCATTTTTCTTGGACAACTCATTGAGATCCTGCTAGATCCCTACAAAACAACCCCCGTTTGTCTACATAATGCATGAACCATCAGTCTTATGATGATGATGACCATACAGTTTGGTATTAGTGGCAGAATTTTAGGAGTCACCCTGGCTGGGCTTCTAAGGGAAATTTAGGAGAAAACCTAATCTTACAACCAAACACTTAAAAACCATCTCCTAAGCTTGCATCCTATTATCATAGCTAATTTTGTTCATTATATGCTGATTTTTATGGCCTCAGTTTTAGAGGGTGACTTGATTTTCAATTCTGAAGATCTACCTTATTGAAACATACAGCTTCTCTCTGCTTCCACATGTACCGACTATATTTAAATATTAACTTTTAGTAGATTTGAGTGTCTGATTACATTAGCCTTTTATTACACCTTATATATGATTAAATTTTTTTGTTCCATTTATACTAGGTTCATGAAAGAAGTGTCCAGTCAGACTTCTTACTGATTATCTTGAAGGAAATTTTACAGAAACGCTCTGATCTGCACTTGATTCTAATGAGTGCCACTGTAGACAGTGAAAAGTTTTCTACGTATTTCACACACTGCCCTATTCTCAGAATTTCAGGAAGAAGCTATCCTGTTGAGGTAAGTCTTCTTTATAATGTGTACATGAACAGAAACTACATTTCTACCAGGGAGTCTCCCCAGAAGATAAGCCCTATACTAGTCTGAGCCCATTCCTAGTCCTACGGTACTGCAAGTCAGGAGAAGACTTGGAGATGGCTTGGGAATCAGGTTGAGGGTGGGTGGGCTGGAAGGAAGGATTCTGCTGAAAGACGTACCTGAGAAGTACAGAACATAAAACACACTTCCGTGTCAAAACCATTGTGACCAGGTTGAGGGTGACTGCCTGGCAATAAGGAACTCCTTTTTCACCCACCTCTCAAATTTAGGCTTGTTTTTGAAGCTGCTTTTCTGCCTGTTCTATTCTTAGTGTTTGTCCTTTGGGTTCAGTTCATAAAGACAGCTCTTTTTCATCAGTTTTCACAAATTAAAAAATAGACACCATAATGTAATTTGTCCTGAGACTGTAGGGACAAACTCATCTCTGTCAGCCAAGTTTTCCATTCCCAAATAATGTAGAAAGAAGCTTTTCTTGTAATAGTCTAAATTAACATTTGGTAACATTCAAAAGATAACGATCCCCTCATTCTTTTTAAAACATTTACTGAAAAGAATTTGAGTTCACCATTTATATGCCTTAATCTATGTAGGTTTTTCATCTTGAAGATATAATAGAAGAAACAGGCTTTGTACTGGAGAAAGACTCCGAATACTGTCAGAAATTTCTGGAGGAGGAAGAAGAAATTACCATTAATGTTACAAGCAAAGCAGGGGGAATAAAGTATCAGGTAAAAAGAAAACATTTTCAAAGACATCTGATAGTGATATCCAGGGCATAACCTTCTGTGAGAGGTTTGAATCATATGGCTGGCACAGTGAATTAGAGTATAATTTGGTAGAAAAGGGAGAGAGAGGATTGAGCAAATTTTATTTTTTTTAAGATTTTATTTATTTATTTATTTGACAGAGAGAGAGAGACAGAGAGGAAACAAGCAGGGGGAGCGGGTGAGGGAGAAGCAGGCTCCCGGCCGAGCAGGGAGCCCGATGTGGGGCTTGATCCCAGTACTCTGGGATCATGACCTGAGCTGAAGGCAGACGCTTAACGACTGAGCCACCCAGGCGCCCCAAATTTTGAGCAAATTTTAAAGGTCATTTCTTTAATCTTCGGTTTATGATATTTTATCTTTTTACACTATACAGACATAAAAAAATCAAGGACCATATAAATAAGAGGCAACCCTTATTGTTTCATAGCAATGATTAATTATTTAGGAGTAAATTTGTAATTATTTTCTTTACTTTATCTGAACACCTTAGGTGTTGAGGATGGGGCAGGCCCAAAACCTAGATAGATCCTTGCCATTTTTTTCTCAGCAGTCTCTGTCCTGGTATGGCTATATAGCTTGGCTATATAGCTGAAGCTATCCTGGAGCAAGCACAGTTCTTCCTAGAGTTAGTTTCAATGACATGTTTATTTTTAGAACTGTCATAAAAGCTAAATTATCCTACACTTTAACCAGTAGTACTATATCCAGTATTTTTATTGTATCCGTGATATTTCATGCTTATATCCAATCTGATGGAAACACGAAGTTACTTTATCTTCTAGTTAAGCAGATAAATCAAGAAAGCATAAAGTAAAATCTTTCCCTAAAATTCTGGAGATAGAAATTAGAAACTAAAGAAGTACTTCAGAAAATTAAAGGTATTTCAAAAGAGATAATTGGAATTCAGCAACCAAAGTAGAATCTAGTAGGAATGAGCAGATATAAACTACTTACTGAAGTTACTATGGGGATACCTGGGTGACTCAGTTAAACATGTGACTCTTAGTTTGGGCTCAGGGTCATGAGATAGAGCCCCGCATCTGGCTCTGTGCTGGGCATGGAGCCTACATAAGATTCTCCCTCTCCCTCTGCCCCTCCCGACCCCCTCTCCCAAAAAAGTTACTCTAACCTCTCCTGGCCTGCTTCTTAGTTGCCACAGAACAGTGCATACAGTGTTCTGTTTTTCTTAGCTCTTCTTTAATTTAGTATGTACAGGACAAGATTAAAAGTTTTGCTATACTTAAGGAAGCTGAATGAAATGAAATACGCAAGACCTCAGATTTTATACTTTTTCCACTGTAAAAAACTACCCTTACCATATTTTAACAAAATAATGACAATGAGAAATACAGTTTTGAATGAATGCAAATACTTTTTTCCTTCTTTGTCTTATAAAAATAGTTAATATTTTTGTTCATCTTTTTCTGGTTGTGTTTCTTGTAGGAATATATACCAGTTCATACTGGATCAAGTGCTGATTTAAATCCATTTTACCAAAAGTATAGCAACCGCACTCAGCATGCTATTCTCTACATGAATCCTCATAAAATCAACCTTGATCTCATTTTGGAACTTCTTATATATTTAGGTATGTATCTTTTTCTAATTTGACTCCATTTGTTTTGATAAAACTTTTCTGCTAACTGAAGATATTTTATTAACATGTTACATGTTACCCCTTACCTTTCTTCTTATGTTGAATTTCAGACAGAAGTCCCCAGTTCAGAAATATTGAAGGAGCAGTGTTGATATTTTTACCAGGACTTGCACATATTCAACAGTTATATGATCTCCTATCAACTGACAGAAGATTTTTTTCTGAACGGTAACTACAAATCTTCATTATATTCCAAGTAGTTTTAAAATAGAAAAATGTTTTATTAAAACTCTTCATCAGAATTTTCAGTCTTTTTACCTTTAATTAAAATTATCCAAAGTGAAGCTTTTTAACATTTCTATTATAGCACTTAATGTACTAAAAATTTTAGGTATTATTTCAGCTTTTGTTCTATTTTCTTTTTTTTTTTTTTTAAAGATTTTATTTATTTATTTATTTGAGAGTGAGAGAGAGAGAGAAACAGCATGAGAGGGGAGAGGGTCAGAGAGAGAAGCAGGCTCCCCGCTGAGCTGGGAGCCTGATGTGGGACTCGATCCCAGGACTCCGGGACCATGACCTGAGCCGAAGGCAGTCGCTTAACCAACTGAGCCACCCAGGCGCCCTCTATTTTCTTAATATGAGTAAGCAGAGGGATTCCTGTGTTTGAGAATAAGATGGTGACTCCCCTCCCCAACCACCTGGACAGCGCAAAACCCCTACAGGTTCAGTTTATCATCCAGACATATGGAATCAGCTGTTTAGTGTATCTTTCCTGATATGGTTCATTACTGCTGTCATGGTTATCATATCCAAGCATATTTTTAAATTCTCTAAACCCTATATTCCATATAAATTCATATGAAGTATTTTCTCTTTGATGACTATATGTGGTTTCATTGTATCATTCTCAGAACTTTTGTGTGTTTGAAATTTTTCATAATAAAAAATTAAATTGCTATTTGCAAATAAATTTTGTTATTCTTTGCAGTGTCTTCTAAAGAGAAACTCTTGCTAAGAATTATGATTTTAACTTTCAGATATAAAGTGATAGCTCTGCATTCTATTCTTTCAACTCAAGATCAAGCTGCAGCATTCACAGTTCCTCCTCCTGGAGTCAGGAAGGTAAAATTCAGTGCAGCAAATTTATGTGTGATCTTTTCTGAGAATATTTTGTGAAAATGTTAGGACTCTGTAACATCACAGTTATTAAAATGTTTTTAAGTGCCTTACAGTGCATGGCAGACTCCAGATGCTCTCTAGCTTAACATAATCAGAAGTGAACCCAGTATTGAAATTGAAGTATTTGAATATTTATATTATGCATTATTAAGGGGCCAGGGCTTTTAGGGGAGTGACGAAAAATATTATGGCATGGATTTTGCTTGTGAAAAGAAAAATCACTATTTTTCCCATCTTTTTCATGAAGGATATTAGATGTCAGGAGCTATTTGAATCCTGTGAGGATTCTTTGTTGTTCTCCAGGCTATTCATCCATGATTATTTTTGTAACATACAGATCATTAGGTTAGGAAACAGTCTTGGTATTTTCATGTCTCCTCTGTTCAGGATTCTAAATGTGAAGAAATACTTGACAGAGAGTTTCTCAGATTTAGGAGGGGATAAAAGAGCACAGTGTAAGAACTGTGGGGAATCTAAGAGCTCCCAGAAAGAGCCTGGGTTCTGAGGCTGCTCTGATCTGTAACATTTGGGCTTCCCTCTAAGATTTGGTTTAAAGAAAAGAGTTCTACCTCTTAAAAAAAATTTTTTTTCAATTTATTTAGTTATTTTTCAGAGAGCAAGCAAGCACAAGCAGGGAGAGCGGCAGGAAGTGGGAGAAGCAGACTCCCTGCTGAGCAAGGAGCCCGATTCGGGACTCGATCCCAGGACTCTGGGATTACGACCTGAGCTGAAGGCAGACAACTGAGCCACCCAGGCAGCCCTCAAAAAATTTTTTTTTAATTTAAATGTTACTGAGATAGAATAAGCACCTAGGTTCCATCTAAGTATTAGAACCCAGATTATTTCCTAGGTCAAATGAATAGGAAAAACAAGCATTCACTATTGAATTACAGAGTTGAGATAGAACAGTACGAAAGTGAGTATTTGATGGAAAATTTCCTAAATGTTTTACCTCCAAGGACGCAAGACAAAAAATGCAAAGACTGCAGTATTCAGCCATCACCATTAAGAATTTTAGAACTAGAAATGGATCTAAGAAATCATCTATTTCTATCTCCTAAACTATAGTAGAAGTATCTGAAGTCACCCGAGGTAAAATAACTTAGCTGAGGTCACAAAGCTAGTAAATGGTAGAGCCAGGACAGCAACTTCTTACTGATACACTGTTTTTGTCCCAATAATTGTGAATGGTTGTGCTGAGCTGTCTCTACTCTGGATCCAATTTCCCAGTTCATTTTTAAGATGACTGACTAGAATTAGGGGAACGGTATTTTTGTTGGAATAAAAATCTGTAACTTTAATTAGCAAGCTAAGCTGTGAAAACTAATTGTAAAGAACTAAAATTACATAGTAATAGCAAGTTGATGGTGAATTTTAGTAAATAATTTTGAAATTCACTTTTTAAAATTCATTAAGTCAAACAGTATAGGTTAAATGATTGCACACTGCTGAAAGTTGTTATCTAAATCTTTTGGCTTTTATTTTCAGATTGTTTTAGCAACAAATATTGCAGAGACAGGTATCACTATTCCAGATGTTGTATTTGTAATTGACACTGGAAGGACAAAAGAAAATAAGTAAGTTTGAAAAGGGTTTGGTGCTCTTACATTCTTGGGAGAAATCACAGAATCATATAGGGAAAATCCCAGATGTCCTAATTCTACCCGAAGCAAAAAGCCTCAGAGAAACTTTAACATGTCCAAGAGTAAATGTCAAGTTTCATGTCTTGAGTTTTCCCATACTGCTACTTGTAGAAAACTCTGAGAAAATTTTCAGAATGTAATTTTTTGTAAATTTGTTTGTAAAATATCTTTACAAAAACATTACTTATGAGATTATAACAGAGCGTATGGATTTTGGAATCAGAGTTGGATTTAAATCTCTCATCTGTAATCTTGAGCAAGTAATAATACAGTAAGTATAATCATCAGTCCCCTCATATGTAAATGGGGAGCATAAATATTTTTCATAATTGAAAGTACATGATATGGTAATTGGCACTTACTAGGTAACCTTACCTGAATCTTCATAAAAAGATTACTACTTTATAAATGTTTTAATGCTTATATTGCAAAAACAGGGAAGATGACCTTGCTAGTCTATTGTAATCCATGTACACTCTCCCTCTATTAGGAAACTTCAGCAATATTTGGCAATGCATATGACTACTGAGAAGCATTTCTCAAACTCTTTCAAAGAAGTCTTATTGCATAATTCATAGGCCTTCCTTTAAAATAAAACATCTTCCATGGTCCCATTAATTTGGGAAAGGTTAAGTTAAATAGGTTTTTCCCTTGGAGAGGTATCTGAAGCTTTTAACTGGGTAGTATGAGATTTAGTTTGCAAAGTTTGCTGAATTATTTAAACATGAAACATGACTTGGAAAATGGCCCACAATTATGATGGACTTTTTTTAGCCTGTCTTCAATGTAATTTTAAGAGTCACCTATTTCCAGCTTTTTTTCAGATTTTGATTTAAGTCCTTTCTCTAAATATTCTCTCCTAAAACTTTTCTTCAGGTACCATGAAAGCAGTCAGATGAGTTCTTTGGTTGAGACGTCTGTCAGTAAAGCAAGTGCTCTGCAGCGCCAGGGGAGAGCGGGGAGGGTCCGAGACGGCTTCTGCTTCAGGATGTACACCAGAGAAAGGTATGACACAGCACTGGAAGTCGGAAGCACGTCTGTCCTTGTAGTGTGGCGCTTCTGATGAGAGGTCACGTGTTTAACACTATTTTATTCTTCAGATTTGAAGGCTTTATGGACTATTCTGTCCCTGAAATCTTGCGTGTGCCTTTGGAGGAATTATGTCTTCATATTATGGTAATGCCGAAGGAATTCAGATGCTACTTTTTCATTCTTTACCCCTTTCTTAAAAAGAAAAAACAAAACATGAAGACTTCTCTTACCCTACGTTTCTCTAGATTTTCAAGTATTTTATTTACTCGTTAATAAATACCCCCTCCCCATCTTTTTTTTTTTTTTTTTTTAAGATTTATTATTTGAGAGAAAGAGTGTGCACGAGAGAGAACACACACAGGGGGAAGCGGCAGAGGCAGAGGCAGAGGTAGAAGTAGGCTCCGGGCTGAGCAGGGAGCCCAGCATGGGGCTCGATCCCAGAATCCTGGGATTATGACCTGAGCTGAAGGCAGACGCTTAACCGACTGAGCCACCCAGGCGCCCTGTCCCCCATCTTTTTATAAGTAAACCCACTGTGCTTAAATTCTACCACAGGCACTCATCCTTAATAGACTAAAACTAGCTCTCAACTGGGGGCGATATTGCTCACCAAGGGACAATTGGCAATGTCTTCAAACATTTTTGCTTTTCAGAACTGGGGGGAGAAGGAGGCCATACTACATGGGCATCTAGTGGGTAGAGGCCAGGGACTACTGCTAAACACTGCATATTGCACAGCAGTCTCTTAAAGAATTATCTGGCCCAAAATAACAACAGTGCTGAGATTGAGAAACCCTGACAGAGACCAAGGGCCTCCTGGTCTGAAAGATCGATATTACCCTTCAGTTCTTAGATTTTGACTTTACAAAAATCAGGAATGAAGAAACTAAAAATGTGGACTAGAAGATCTCTTCCTCATGCCAGCCATCCCCCCCCTCCCCCCCCACACACACAGTGTCTCACTCCCAATTATAAGAAAAAGAACAGGATAGCCTTACTGAGATATTTATGTCTCTTTGCTCAGAATTTATTTCCAATTTGACCATCTCTTTGGTTAATTCTTTCTAATAGCATACTGATTTATCACTCTATTTTAATGTGCAGAAATGCAATCTTGGTTCTCCTGAAGATTTCCTCTCCAAAGCCTTAGATCCTCCTCAGCTTCAAGTAATCAGCAATGCAATGAATTTACTCCGAAAAATTGGAGCATGTGAACTAAATGAGCCTACACTGACTCCACTGGGCCAACACCTTGCAGCTCTGCCTGTGAATGTCAAGATTGGCAAGATGCTTATTTTTGGTGCCATATTTGGGTGCCTTGACCCAGTGGTAAGATAAATGGCTGCTCTTGCTTCTTCACTTTAACTATCGTTTTGGCTAAGTTTGGAAATAATTTTTAACTTTTTACATTTATATACAAGATAATATACATTCATCCCTTAAGTATGCTGTAGGTACTATTTTGTAAATGGGTTTGGCTTGTATAGACTTTTGCTATCAAAAATCCCACTTGAAATATTTATAGATTTTGGGGGGGTGCAGAGCAAGCGAGCTGTGGGGGAGGGGAGGAGAAAGAGAGAGAGTCTTAAGCAGCATCATGCCTAGCACAGAGCCCAGCCAGAGCTCGAGCTCACGACCCTGAGATCATGACCTGAGCCAAAAATCAAGAATTGGACGCTCGGCTGACTGAGCCATCCAGGTGCCCTTTATAGATGATTCTTTGAAAACTGAGAACCCCACAGACTTTTCTAAGGAGGATGAGATGAGAAACTTCATTCCTTCGCTTTTTCTGCATTCTCTCTCTGAGCCAGCAATTACTAACAGTTCTATTTTATGAGATTATCTCAGAATTAACAAATGTTGTGCCTCTTTCTGAATCTCTGGGCTCATATGCCTGCTGCGCTATTTCAACTTTCCAGTTTTACCAGGCTGTGGCCTTTTCTGGGACTGCAAATCAAGGCCATTTAAAAACAGAATGAAAGAGCATAACGTAACGTACTCTAGTAGTCTGTTTCTCTAGTATTAGGAATACTCACCAGAATTGTGCTGAGTCCAAAAAATAACCTCTGTCATGATAATTGATGTGAAAAGCTGCAACAACAACAAATGGGTTATAATACATTACAAATTGTTTTAAAAGTATTTAAAGAACATTGCAGGCAATGGAAATTTAGTAAGTTAAGAGTCAAGATATATGAGCTGTGATTCTGAGATTGCTTCTAACTATGTGACAGACTATGAATCCCTGTACACCCATTCAGGTTTTTATCTCTGATTCTGGTGATGTGACTTCCTTATAAATATGGTCTAAAAGTGATATATTTTTAAAATTAAACAAAATGAAGCCCAAAGTAACTAATTAAAATGAAAATGTTAGCTATCGTAGAACACAATAAAGGTATTGGAAAAGAAGAAACATGCAACTTGAAAGTGGGACTGTTGTATGATTTGCTTTCTTTTACAAATCACCCTTCCATGTTTACCTCTTTACTGATAAATGTTTTGGTTATTTATGGATAGGCAACACTAGCTGCAGTGATGACCGAGAAGTCTCCTTTTACTACACCTATTGGTCGGAAAGATGAGGCAGATCTTGCAAAATCAGCTTTGGCTATGGCCGATTCAGACCACCTGACAATCTACAACGCATACCTAGGGTAAAGAAAAAATCTGGGTGTTGTCAATAAGTCAGTGACCGGAGGTTATTTACTTTAAAAAAGTTTATCTTTGACTTTCATTAAAAAGATACATCTAAGATTTACCTTTTAGTTACTTCATTTGTCAAGGTATAATTATCTTAAAGATTCCTTTTTTTTTAATCCTTTCTAAAATTTAAGAATAATGTATTTTGTATTGTTGTACCTATATTACCTCATATTTAGAGTTAATAATTTACCCTTATACACAAAAAATCTCAGTATTGCCGTTCATACTCTTATATTCAGTTAGTAGCTCCTACAATTAAGACCCCCCCCCACTTAAGTGATTGTAATTTAATTACAGCTTACTTTGGTTAATACCTCTGAAAGAGAGAGTTTGAAAAGAAAACATGTTGAACTTTGGTCATTTTATTTTACATATGTAGATGGAAGAAAGCACGGCAAGAAGGCGGCTATCGTTCTGAAATAGCATACTGCCGAAGGAACTTTCTTAATAGAACATCACTGTTAACCCTAGAGGTAAGTCTTAATAGAGCTTTCTAATTCGGAGTCATATGGTTGACTGATAGGCTTATTTTAGAAAAAGAAATGCATGCCTAGGATAGTGATTAACACATAGTACAGATTTAATTTACTGAATTATTAAATTTGTAATTTTTTGTTTCTTGTAATAGGTAACTTTTATGTATTACACTGTGATTTAAAATAGTATTTAAGAATCATAATGTAATAATCATAAAATGCTTCCAAGGCTTGGAATCTAGTCATTTTGCCTAAGAGCCCCAATTCCCTTTAGTGAAATTCTTTTCTGTTTTCCTAAATATTAGCCAGCTACTTCGTTGCAGGTAGGATGATAATTATGGAAAGGCATCCAAGGCATGGTACCCTGTGGCTGATTGTGACCAGGTGTATATGACCTGAGCCAAAAATCAAGAATTGGACGCTCGGCTGACTGAGCCACCCAGGTGCCCCTTTATAGATGATTCTTTGAAAACTGAGAACCCCACAGACTTTTCTAAGGAGGATGAGATGAGAAACTTCATTCCTTCGCTTTTTCTGCATTCTCTCTCTGAGCCAGCAATTACTAACAGTTCTATTTTATGAGATTATCTCAGAATTAACAAATGTTGTGCCTCCTTCTGAATCTCTGGGCTCATGCCTGCTGCGCTATTTCAACTTTGCAGTTTTACCAGGCTGTGGTTTTGATAGTGTTGAGGACCAGAATTAGTTCTTGGAGGAGAGAGAGTAGAAGTATAGTTAAAATATACAGACAACTGATGGCAAAAAGCAGGGCTCCTCTGCAGATACTTAATGTTCATGGTACATAGGAAATGGTGTTTAGTACACCATCTAAAGGCAAACAGTTTCTACTTCAGACACACTATAAAAGTATTCAGAAAATAAACTTAATGTATCTCACATAATTATTCTGTGCTCATATCTCAAAGGGTTATTTTATTCCCATAAAAACTTAACCCATTATTTTTTGTCATTCAAGATAACGGCTGGGATAAGAGCAGGGACAGCTCTCAGTAGAACGAGTTTTGTCCTTCTACAAGTAGAAAAAGGGATAAATTGAAGAAATAGCTGCCTCTGGGCTAACTCACTGGGATTCCCCTCTGTCTCCACTCCCTGCCAACCGCCCAGTTGCCTCCCGCCTCCTTCCTTCTGTGAGCCTTTTCTTCACCTCCCCTGGGCTGCAAGGTTTTCCATCCCTGCACCTACCCTGTGGTGTTAGAGCAGCCGTTTGGCCTCTTCTCACCTGGAATCAAAGTCTCCTTAAGCCCCAAACCAGAAACCTAAAGGAAATCCTAAATGTAAATACCACCTTTTAATCGGCTGTATCCTGTTTACTATGAAAAATGCTCATCCTTCCTATAGAATTTAAGCTGATTGGCACTTAGTTACTAAAGGTAAATATAGATTTTAGGCAACAATTTTAGATTAAGTGAAGGTGTCATTGTTAGAAGTAAGGTGAGATTCTCAGGGGCAAATGAACAAAGTATTTGCAGTCCAGGATCAAGATTCCTCTCCTGTTTGTCCTCAACATTAGTCCTCATGGAGAGGAGAGAGCTACTACTAAAATAAATATATTGAATGCAAATGTGTTCAGGCACATTTTTATTGCTCTCATATTTTAGACATTGTGTTTTATGACATGTAAAGTCTTGAGATGTGGAAATAGATAACTCTTTAATCCTTGATTTACCAGTATCGTTTTTTCGTCCCTCATTTGATTTGGGCTGTAGTTAACTAAATAATTTGGCATCCTATCAATTTTGATAGGAAACAGCAATATATATTAAAGGGTTGTCAGTTTTTCTATTTTAATCAATTACGATCTTGTCTCTATGTTAACATAAACCAATCTAGGACGTAAAGCAAGAGTTAATCAAGTTGGTTAAGGCAGCAGGATTTTCATCATCCACAACATCTAATGACTGGGAAGGGAACAGAGCCTCACAGACCCTTTCCTTCCAAGAAATTGCCCTTCTTAAAGCTGTACTGGTCGCTGGACTATATGACAATGTGGGGAAGATAATCTATACAAAATCAGTTGATGTTACAGAAAAATTGGCTTGCATTGTGGAGACAGCCCAAGGCAAAGCACAAGTACATCCATCCTCGGTAAATCGAGATTTGCAAACTTATGGATGGCTCTTATACCAGGAGAAGGTAAAGTGCTCATTCTTAATTCCACTATTCAGAGCATTATTCTAGAAGTCAGTTGTAACAAGTTAGGATGCCCCAACAGGTATTATATTTGATTCTCAAATTAAGCTGTTTATTTTTGTACATAGTTTCTCATTAAAAAAAAAAAAAAAAACCTTATTGGAAGAAAAATATTAAGGTTTCTACTCTGACCATCATCTTTCCTACTTGAAATAAAGACAATTATAGCAAATAGATATTGTTTAATAATGTATGAGTTCCCTGAGATTTTACCAAAAGGTGCTACCTCAACAGAGAACAAAGACATGTTATATGTGCATCCCAAATAAGGGGGATATGGGATTAGACAAAACTCTATATGACCAGGCAACAGTTTGAGTCACAGTGTAACCCAAGATAACTTAAAAGCAAGTATTTATAGATTACAATTAAAAAAAAATCTTTTGAATCGTAGCTTGCTATAAACTAACAAGGATCCATAATTTGAAGCACTGGCTCGAAAAATCATTACCCTGTCATAAAACTTAAATGTAAAACATGAGGCATTACTGACTAATGGCCATAGCTGAACATTGATCTAGAAACCAGACACTGAAACAGTTTCATTTTTGAGCTAATTAACAGCACTGGCATTATAAAATTGCTTGTTCATAGTTTCATTTATGTTCAAGGTATACAATTCACCTTTACAGTTAATGTTTTAAAATGCCTTTTAATAAGGTAAATGCACAGATGGTGAATGTGATTATTATAAAATTGGCAAATTGTGCACATGTGAGAACGTAAAGATAGCTTTACAAAACTTATGTAAATCTTATAGGAGCAAATTATAGAAACATGCTTATATGAAACATAAATGAATTTCTTACATTTTTAGGCTGTGAGGTTTTTTTTTTTCTCTTTTATTCCTATGCAGGTAAGGTATACCCGAGTATATCTGAGGGAGACTACCCTAATAAGTCCTTTTCCAGTTTTACTTTTTGGTGGTGATATCGAAGTTCAACACCGGGAACGTCTTCTTTCTATTGATGGCTGGATCTCTTTTCAGGTACATCCTATAGCTGATCTCATAACATTAAAATTTTCTAGTTGCAGTACCACTGAGGTAGATTTTTAAAATTTTATTGGCGTTTGCATAATTTCTTCCTATAATTTCACTTAAAGTGGAAGACTTCCCTATTTTATCTTGGCTATATTGTTTTAAATCTGTTAAATATGAAAATCAAATATCGCTATTACAGATGGCATTATCAGTAATAGTAACTTGCCATCCATAAATTAACTATGTCTCAGTAGTTTACATGGATTATCCCAAATTTACTAATCCTGATAACCTTGTGATTAATTTCTGTAGTTTCCTTTCTATAGATGAGACACATAGATTCAGTGAGCTTATTAAATAACTTTCTTAAATGAATTGTTACTGGCCAAGCAAGACTTTTAAGCTCCTTCTACTTTGTGCCACCTATAAGAAGACACAGATTCATAGCTTTTAATGAGTATGACCAGACCAATCATTGCTACCAGCAATAAGCTTACTTCCTTGTAGCCCCCTCAACAGTGACCAGCTTAAAAAAATTTAATACATTCTGTTACTGTATGCCATCACGATTTGTCTAAGATTGGAGAAGTAAACTTAAATGCAACTTTAAAAATATATGCAGTTCTCTCCAAGAGGACAGGGTGGTAGAAATCGTCTGTAACTGGATTATGGTCATGGTTGCACAACTCTATAAATACACTAAAAATCATCAAATTGTACACTTAATAATGAGTAAATTTTTAAGGTTAGTAAATTACACATCAATAAAACTGTTAATTCCTTCCCCAAAATTTCAGACTTCACTCCCACAGAATTATTGCAAGAGAAGTTACAGGAAATAATTTCCCTGTATTCTTGCAATAACATTTTATATTCAAGTCCAGATGTGTTTAAGCAGACGGTAAGGTATACATGCTTACTTTCATTTACTGAAACACATTCACACTCACAGGGATTAACTTCGGCCAATTTGTCATCTCCTCTCAACAGGCCCCTGTAAAAATAGCTGTCATTTTCAAGCAGCTTAGAGTTCTCATTGATTCTGTTTTAAGAAAAAAGCTTGAAAATCCTAAGAGGTCCCTTGAAAGTAAGTATTTATAATGTAAGTAGAAAACCATCTATTTTTAAACATTGGAGTACATTAGAGCACACTGAAGTCCATGTGATTAAAAATTGTTTTCATAAAATTTTATGCTGAATTCCATCAAACTCCTAGACATTGCTTCATTATTCACAATCTAATTATACCCTTAAGATTCTTTTACTCTTTCCTCTTCTAAGTTTCACTTCTAAACTTCTGACCATTTCACAGAAAAAAAGGATGGTAAAACTGAGCATTGTAAATTTTGATTATAAGGGACTTTCTGTGAGGTTTCCAAGATGTTTTTATCTACCATTCTCACAAATGCAGAGCTAGTCTGTGTTTAAAAAGTACATTATCCTGGGCGCCTGGGTGGCTCAGTTGGTTGGGCGACTGCCTTCGGCTCGGGTCATGATCCTGGAGTCCTGGGATCGAGTCCCGCATCGGGCTCCCTGCTCGGCGGGGAGTCTGCTTCTCCCTCTGGCCCTCCCCCTCTCATGTGCTCGCTCGCTCGCTCTCTCTCTCTCAAATAAATAAATAAAATCTTTAAAAAAAAAAAAAAAAGTACATTATCCTTCAACAGAAACCTGCAATAAACACCTGAGTTTTCGGTTAGTCCAGTGCAGTGTTTCCTACCCAAACTTGCCAAATCATCAGAATCATCTTGGCAGGTATTAAAATACGAAGTCCAAAGACCTACCCCAGTCATAATTTAATCTCCTTTATGGGAGAGGCCTGTGTGTTATTTTTTAATCCCTTAATTTATAACACTTACCTCTACTACCATCCCCCTTTTTAAATAGAGTAATTTTTATTAAATTGGACTATTTTACTGGTAAAATTTCTCACATTTAGGATTTGGTTGGTTACATCTTCATGCTTTGATTTAATGTGTTTATTGTCTGCAGGATATGCAATAGTTGTATCTAAAGCTTTGATTAATTGGATTTCTAGGAAAAGGATATTTTCTACTTGCTGCTCTGTTCTTCCCATTGCATCACATCATGAAGCATTCAAATTTGGTTTTCCCACTTTGAATGATGTTAAGAATTGATCAGTGGGGTTCAATATGATTGTATTTAACAGGTATCTCAGTTAATTCTCACAGGCAAGTTGGGAGTTGCTGATCTAGTGCTACTACCCTGAGACTTAGGGAGCTTAAAGATCATGGTTCTTTCTAGACCCGTCATTGTTTCCCTTGCAGCAAGTGACCTTTTCTTTTCTTTTTTTTTTTTAATGTCGAAGTAGTCCCCACGAATTTGAGTGCCAGGCCATGGGCCCAGTTACCAGAATTTCCCATTGCAACCAATGAAACTCAGGGCATTCTCTTGCTGAAGTGTCTAATATATCAGGCTTGCAGCCCTGATAATTACACCTGTCTAAAGAGTAGTTAAGAAGTTCTTAGGAAGTCACAATCTGGGAACAACCGTTTAAAAGTAGAAGCATCTGTTACCATAACCTCCTTAGCAAACACTATAGCCTCCGTTGCTGTGTTTGCCAAATTAATTGGTGTTTGCTACTTTTGTTGTGTAGAGATCTGTCACTTCCCTACCGACACCTCTCCAAGAGTCCTTGCCTCTTAAAAGTTTTTGTTTCTTTTGGGACTAAACATGGAGCAACTGGTATCAGTTCCTCCTTCTTTGCCCATACTGTGGAAATCCTGATGTATTCTGAAGACCATGGAACAGTCATAGATCCTTCAGTATGTCTGAGCCAGCTGACAAAGTTAGGAAACCCCTGGTCTTAAAGGACTTTTTAAAGACCTAATTCCTTAAAAAGGACAAATAGTTACATTACATCATGTCTTTGGGCGTTGGCCTGCTTCCTGTCAAAGTAGGTGTCAAGTAACTATAATAATAATACTTGTAGGGCAACAAATTCTATTTTGTGGACATCTCTAGGTTTAGTGTGAATATTGCTGGTATAGTATTGTGTTTTAATTTAAAAGAATCTTTTCATCAACTATGCCTGCTAGTCACATGTGTATACATTGGGAATTTAGCCAGGTGATGAATTTTTTCATGGGTGTTTTTTTTTTCCTTCCACTCAGATGACAAGATTCTACAGATCATTACAGAACTGATAAAAACAGAGAATCATAATTGAAACTGAAAGTCATGGTCAACTGCTTTAAAAATAACGATGAAGATATGGTCATGAAATTATGTGAAAATGGACCATTGCATTAAGTATTTCAGTACTTAAAATGTTGGTACTAGCCATAAGTTAAAGGTGGTGGAAAAAAAGCACATACTTTAAACTAATGTGTAATTTTCTAGTTCCTTTTTAATGATAATTATTTGCAATGTATTTACCACTACATTTACAATAAATCCTTTGGTATCATCGATGCTTCACACATCATTTTGTGCCTCTGGGCAAGGCCTGTGTCTATCGTATCTGTCACTTAGGGTCCTGATTCCCTATGTAAACACCTTAGGCTCTACCAGTCCTTCTTATCTGGAGAGTTTAGGCCTTCTTGACCCACAAGAGAAAGTGAGCTCCAAAATCAGTTGTAATTAAATTTCCTTGAAAAGAACAACTTCAGAAATCAGTTATTTGATAACCAAAATAAAAACCTAAGTAAGTATTAATAGATACTACCTGTTCACTGTGCACAAAGATGTAGTGCTAGAGAATAGGCAGGAATGGCTAATGCTACTGTTAACCTTGGGATGGACAGCTTACATCATTTCCTCAATCCTAAGCTTTGGTATCAGTGCCCTCGAACCGTTTGCCTTCGGCTCAGGTCATGGTCCCAGGATCCTGGGATTGAGGCCCACGTCGGACTTCCTGCTCAGCGGGGAGCCTGCTTCTCCCTCTCCCACTCCCCCTGCTTGTCTTCCCTCTCTCTCTTTGTCTCTCTCTGTCAAATAAATAAATAAAATCTTAAAAAAAAAAAAAAATCCTGTGTAGACCAAATGGCAGGAATTGTATCTGAAGGACAAAAGATTAGAGTAGGAATCTAATCCAACTGCTTGACTCTCTTAATAGGTACTCAGTATTTGTTGATGAATGAATAAAAGAAGCTGTAATTTTCACTTTATGTGCAGGTGGAAGTAAAAATAATACTTAGTAGCAATCTATTTTAACTTTCTGCCTGCACTGTGATAACTGAATTGAGAGCAAAGAGTCAAATATGATTGCAGTTTGGAATCACTAGCTAGTGCCATTAATAGAACTGGACATTGTCAGATCTAAGTGGTGGTTTGGGTGCTAGAGGAAGTTCAGTTTGTGACATGGAGACGGAAATTGTGGAGTCCTGCGGTAGAACTAATGTTTCCCATCACCTGGTGTGTGCAGGCTGGTGCCCAAATGGTTTTTACGTATTGATTTACTCCTCAGAACAGCCCTATGAGTAGGTAGCACATTATGCCCATTGTACAAATGAGGAAGCAGGCACAGAGAAGTGAAGTAACTTGCCCAGATCAAACTGGCAGTAAGTGACAGAGGCATGATGGCTCTAAAACCATTTAAAGGGCGCCTGGGTGGCTCAGTTGGTTAAGCGACTGCCTTCGGCTCAGGTCATGATCCTGGAGTCCCTGGATCGAGTCCCGCATCGGGCTCCCTGCTCAGCAGGGAGTCTGCTTCTCCCTCTGCCCCTCCCGGCCCTCCCCCCTCTCATGCTCTCTCTCTCTGTCTCTCTCTCAAATAAATAAATAAAATCTTTAAAAAAATAAAATAAAACCATTTAAATTTCTGAAACGTAACCATATCGTTATTCCTTCGAAATTGTCAAATAGTGGCATCAGGATGAGGGCCATCGGATTAGAGTCTTCTATAGGTTTATCATCGTTAAAGATGTGGGAGTGGAGATAAGCACCAAAGGAGAGCAGATGGAAAACAGGTGAGGTTGAAATCTTGCAGAACTCCCTATTTCAAAGTCCATTCACTCCTTTCCATCTCCTCAGCCGTCACTCTGACCCAGGTCATTGTCATCTTCCACCTATGTCACTGTGGTAACTACCAAACTGTGCTCTCCCCTTCCTATCCCTCTGTAATCTGTTCTTCTCTACAACTCTAAGAATGAGTTTTTTAAATTTTTTTTATTTTTCACATTTTAATTCCAGTATAGTTAACAAAGAGTGTTATATTAGTTCCAGGGGTATACAATATAGTGACTGACCAACTCTGTACATTACTCAGTGCTCATCATGACAAGTGTAGTCCTTAATCCCTCTCCCCTATATTTCACCCATTCCCTGACCCACCTCCCCTGTGGTAACCATCAGGTTGGTTCTCTACAGTTAAGAATCTGTATTTTGGTTTGTCTCTTTTTTCCCTGGCTCCTTTGATTGGTTCCTTAAATTCCACATGAGTGAAATCTCATGGTATTTTGTCTTTCTCTGACATATTTCACTCAGCATAATACTCTCCAGTTCTGTCCATGTTGTTGCAAATGGTAGGCTTTCATTCTTTTATGGCTATAAGTAATACCCCAAAATATACATATATGTCTCACATCTTTGTAAGAATGCTTTTTTGAAAGAGCCAAGATGTCCATCAACAGACAAAAGGATAAAAAAGATGTGGTATTATATACAATGGAATATTATGCAGCCATCAAGAAAAAAAAACCCGAAAACGAAATCTTGCCATTTGCAATGACGTGGATGGAACTAGAGGGTATTATGCTAAGTGAAATAAGTCAATCAGAGAAAGACATGTATCATATGATCTCACTGATAAGAGGAATTCTTAATCTCAGGAAACAAACTGAGGGTTGCTGGAGTGGTGGGGGTGGGAGGGATGGGGTGGCTGGGTGATAGACATTGGGGAGGGTATGTGCTGTGAGCGCTGTGAATTGTGTAAGACTGTTGAATCACAGACCTGTACCTCTGAAACAAATAATACACTATATTTAAAAAAAAAAAAAAAGATAGTAGAAAGGGAAAAATGAAGGGGGGAAATCAGAGGGGGAGACGAACCATGAGAGACCATGAGCTCTGAGAAACAAACTGAGGGTTCTGGAGAGGGGGGTGGGGGGATGGGTTAGCCTGGTGATGGATTAAGGAGGGCACATATTGAATGGAGCACTGGGTGTTATACACAAACAATGATGGAACACTACATCAAAAACTAATGATGTAATGAATGGTGACTAACATAATAAATTAAAAAAAAAATGCTCTTTTGAAAGATACTATCGCTTAGCTGATTTAAACCCTTTCTGGTCTCCCAGTGCCTTTAAAATAAAAACTCCTAACCATGACCTACAAAGTTCTGTCCTCACTCCACTCCAACCTCCTCTCCTCCTCTTCCAAATTTCTCACAGTGCTCCAGCCACACCAGACTCCTTTTGAATCCTGGAAGATTCCAAGTGGCTTTTTAAACATTTGCACATGCTGTTCTCTGCTGTAAAGTACTGCTTGTGTTCGTTACCAAACAGACCTTACCCTGCATCAGTGATGTCTGCAGAGACCACCCTACTGATTTCCTTACTGACCACCCTTCCTGAAGTACATCTCCCCTCTTAATTTTTCTCACAACACAGTACTTTTCTCAACACGTAATATCCACTTTTTTACTTCTCTCACTAGCCCATCTGCTGCACCATGACTGTTTCACTCACGTATACTGAGCACAGTGCCTGGCACATACAGGCATTCAGTCAATGTCTGCTGAATGAATGAATAACGTGTGAGGGAACCGAGAACAAGGAGTTCAACTATGACTGCAGTTTCTTGTGGAAGTCAAGAAAGGAGAGTTTCTGGAAGCAAGAGTATTGTCAACAAGTGTTACGGACTAAGAAAAGACTACATCAAGAGATCAAACTTTAGAGAGCAGTTTGAATTAAGGGTGGCAAGGAAGGACATGGTCATAGGTCCCACAACCACCTCTACATTTGAAGACTGACTAGGACTTGCAGGACTCAGAGGGTATAGTTGATTATAGAGAAAGGATACATAACAGGATGAGCAAAGGAAAAAGACATCACATAGAATTCTGGAGGAACCTACACATAGGCTTCCTACACATGTTTGGTCTTTCTGCCCACAGAAGCCCAGGTGAGACTCAAGAGTCCACAAGTATTTTACTGGAGGCCAGTCATGTAGGCACAAAGACCAAAACCATAACTATAAAAACTTCAGACTCCCAGAAGGAAAGCAGTTATTAAGTGCTCCAAGCGGGCAAAACAGTGTTACCTGAAAAACATGGAACTTTTCAAAAGCCAAGCACTCCAGCTCCAGCCAAGAGCCAACCGTACAAGCAGGCCTTTCTAAAGATAGCAACCTGAGGCCTGCCATGTTAACTCTCCTACAAACACACAAAGCATAATTTTTAGGGAATGAATACAAACGAAAAGGTCTGTGCACCAAATGAAGAGTACTCTTTACAGACATGATGAAGAAACAAAGCCTGAGGTTGAAGAATGAGATATTTTAGGATGGGAAGGTCCTCAATGGTTTACAGACAAAAGAGAACTAAGCAGCAGACAATAAGAATAATACTAACATCAGGGGTACCTGGCTGGCTCAGTCCACAGAGCATGCAACTCTCGATCAAGGGGTCTTGAGTTCAAGCCCAACATTGGATGTGGAGCCTACTTATATTTAATATATGTGTATATATGTTTATATAGAATAATATTAGCATCCGAGGGAGGCCAACAATGGACTAAAGAAGAATATTGGGAAAAAGCTGGAAAGGCTTTTTGGCTTTCTCAGCAATGAATGCTTAGGGGCTTGAGGAGATGAGCAGATAAAGTTGATAGTGGGTGTTTTTTGCTTTCAAGTGACCATGGGATCTTAGAATGAAAGAGATTGTCTCATTGAATTTTTGGCCAAAAATGCTTACATAGAGGCAAATGGGGCCATAAGAGAGGCCATGGACCAGGAAAATGGAGAGGCTGAGGAATTAGAGGTCAGGATCCAATCCCAATTCATTGTGAATAAAGTAAGGCCGATTAAGGAAGAGAATTCGAGAATTTAAAATCTGAGATGTAATTATTGCAATAATAAGTAAACCTAATGCTGGTGGATAGCAAAATAAAGATGGTTATCACTGAAGGTAGGTTCAGAAACAGGAGGGCCAACATATCGGTTTATCAGCGGGGATGTAAGAAAAGGATGAAGACTAGGCCAGTGCTTCCATGCTATAGTTATTGGGGAAAGCAGGAAAGTGCCCCGCAACTTAATAGCCAGCAAAAATGAATGAATGAATAAGTGAATGAATGAATGAATGAGAGGATCATACGAGAAAATGGCATGCTCTTCAGGTAAGAACTTGTTGAATTCTGGTAGTGGGACAGGAATATGCCAACCTCTTCTCATTAAATCCATTCTTACAAGTACAACAGTCTTTATTAGGATTAGCTGGAAGCAAAGGAAACATTAAAGGAAAGCAGAT